GACAAGGTTGTTATCACGACTGTATCGGACTTGTTGGAACAACCTTGCAACAAATATGATAATATCAACAAGGTTGTTACAAGTTGTTAACTGCTTGTTCCAAACTTGTTGACAAGCAGTGCGAACAGAACTTGTTGACAGCTTGTTGGCAGACTTGCTACAACATGTGAGATTTTTACGTGTGTAGTGCTTGGGTTTGCAGGTCAAATCGACTTTATAAAGTTGGTTGGAAATATTTTTAACCACGACAATAAAATTGTTGCTCGGAATACGACTTGTTGAGTATAACAAATATAAGACAATTTACTGTCGTTCCAATTGAAGTGTTCCTCAAATATTGATTCAATACATTACCTCGGGCTGACCAATTCATTTCATCAAGTTCCTCGAGATATTCATACACTTCCTAGTATAATTGTAAACTTCCTGTTGAATAGTTTGAATGCACCAATCACCTTTGTTGTTTGTGCAACTAACCAATCATAAATAGAAAGGAAGTGACCAGAAATGATCAAATACTTGGAATTGGCTCTTTCACAGGAAGTGTATGAATATCTCGAGGAACTTGATCAAATGAATTGGTCAGCCTGAGGTAATGTATTGAAGCAATATTTGAGGAACACTTCAATTGGAACGACAGTAAAGACATTTAACAGAATTAGTGCATGAAGCCATGAACTACAACCGACATACTCATATTAATGGCCCGATTTGTACTAGAGACGTAAAAACGCACAAGTTGTTACAAGTCTGCAAACAAGTTGTTACAAATCTGTTCACAAGTTGTCTTCGCACTGCCTGTTCCCAGTTGTTGGAACAAGTTTGGAACAAGGCTGTTAACAACTTGTAGCAAGCTTGATGGCATTATCAGACTTGTCACAGGGTTGTTCTAACTAGTCTGATACAGTCATGATAAACATGAATGTTGCAAGGTTGACGACACAAGGTTGTAACAATGTTGTTATATCATGACTGTATCGGACTTGTTGGAACAACCTTGTAACAAGCCTGATAATATCAACAAGGTTGTTACAAGCAGTGCGAAGACAACTTGTTGACGGCTTGTTAACAAACTTGTTACAAAATGTGAGATTTTTGCGTGTGTAGAGACGGATGAGTCTCATGCAAATTTAGTAAAGAAAAGATAGTTCGATTCATAATTCGCCTTGGTATTGATGCGGCAAGGACAGATCAACTGTCAAGACTATCCGTGCAGTTCGTCTAAACAGATGAACGTGCGTCCAGTGCAGATCCTCTTCACCGGATCAGTGCATGTGTAAAATTGTGGTATTATACGAACGAGCTGGAATTTCCGATACGTATTTGTCCTTTTCAAGCCGGTGTCAAAACCCAAATTTGAATTTGAATGCTCTAGCACGAAGCTGAACGCAAAGATGTGTAAAATATTGACAGGGTGCATATATTATAAATATTGACTTATTAAGAAATAAAATATCTTTGTAAAGCGCACGATTTTTTTCTTTTAGTATGTATAAAATTTACTTATGTCAAGCTTTTATGCACTTTGGGTTCAGCAAAGTGCTGAGGCATTCTGACAATACGTTAGTTCAATAGTTTTGGAGTTTTTTGGGGGACACCATGTATAGGACTATTGCCAGAGTAGACAGGTTATTCTAGCTGCCTATGTTGGACGTTACATCTAAAACCAATGATCCGTTTCTAGTATAATTCGGGCCTATAATAGAATGATCGAAGGTACTGTACGATTAGAGTATGGAAAAGTCCTTGATATTGTCACTATAGTACTGAAGCAAGATAATCTTTAACTTCGGCAGGTGGTAGACGACGGAAACCTGATGCAGTACATATACCCACTTCGATATTTTCCTCGGTCATTTGACCTTCAAAACTTTCCTGAAAACATAAAAAGATAACACTATAAAAGCCTTATTTTAACTTGTGGTGCATAGAAAAGGCCTTGCGTGCTGTCTCAGACTCCGGTGTCACAAGGTTTTCACTTTTGGATTTTTTATATTAATTGAGTTAGGGTTAGATTTGGGTTAGATTTGAGTTAGGGTTAGATATACAGCGATACACAATATGCATCACACTACTTTACTACCGAAATTCAAGAAACTGAACAAATAATGTGCGATATTGTGGGTGTTTTGTCTGCGCTAATTAATAATTTATTTACGAAGTTCCTTTCATGGCGGAAATGCATCAATGAAACTGGCTGTGTTATTACATTAAACGAGCTTGGTTGTCTTCTGGACAAAAGCAATTCCTTCGATAATTACACTACAAAAATATTTCGTTGTCGCAACCAAGTTACTGGAAGAAAATTTGGTGATCGGCAACACACCACTTCGGTTTAACGTGGTCGTAAAATGTGCCCGTACTCAACTTCGAAGCATAAAAATACTAAATTCCTGCCGCCTACACATCAGGATTAATATATAAACAACGTCGTATGATGAAAATATAATCCAATGCATTTTGGCGAGGCCGGTTGCGAGAGAGGCCAGTTGCGAGAATTTACCATTACATACAATTTACAGCACGAATTACTTTAGAGAATAGGAGGTGAATGGACAATTTGCATTATACTTATACTTATACTTAGACTAAATTTTGATCTCAACAAGTCTAGACAAAAATTTCATCACAGCTTGAAAGAGCATCACAAAATTAGTAAGTAATATTCCAAAGTTTCGTTGCGAAATGTTGTAAAATGCGGATAATATAGCCTTGCGAAGTTTGCCGTTTTTCAGTCCATTTTGTATTACAAACGGGAAATTGACAGCCCACTAATTGACAGCCCCAAAGGGTAGTGGGCTGTCAATTTCCCCCGCGTAATACAAAATGACTGAAAAACGGCAAACTTCGCAAGGCTATATATCCGCATTTTACAAGATTTCGTAACGAAATTTTGGAATATTACTAATTTTGTGTTGCTCTTTCAAGCTGTGGTGAAATTTTTGTCTAGACTTGTTTAGATCAAAATTTAGTCTATAATGCAAATGGTCCATTGTGTTTAGACAAGTTCGCTGCAATAATATACAAACACGAACAGCAAAGTTCACAACTTTAGTTACGCAATAAGTAGCCAGAATCGCATGGCAATGACAATGTAAAACTTGTGAATATTTTCAGACTAAAATTTTTCTACTGAATGTTATGGCTTCACTCGTCATGGTTAGTCAATATTGACTCATAGCTATATAATATTAATGCAAATATGCATGGATTATGCAATGTGTAAGCTATAGCAACCTCCCTAGCGACACATGATCGATTTCGTTTGATTCTTTTGAAGAATTTGTTGGCTCTTAAAAGAGCCGTTATTTTGTTTGAACTGTAGACTTGACTCAAGCTCGTTCACCGCGGATTCTTCGTGCCAGCTGGATATCTTTCGGCATAATGGTCACTCGCTTGGCGTGGATAGCACACAAGTTCGTGTCTTCAAACAGACCAACAAGGTAGGCTTCGCTTGCTTCTTGTAGGGCCATCACAGCCGAGCTTTGGAATCGAAGATCGGTCTTGAAATCTTGTGCGATCTCACGAACCAAACGTTGGAAAGGCAGCTTGCGGATCAGAAGCTCTGTGGATTTCTGATAACGACGGATTTCTCGGAGAGCGACAGTTCCTGGCCTGTATCTGTGAGGTTTCTTCACACCACCGGTAGCTGGGGCACTCTTTCGAGCAGCTTTCGTTGCCAAGGTCTTTCTTGGTGCTTTTCCACCAGTTGACTTGCGAGCAGTTTGCTTTGTACGAGCCATTTCTTCTACAGAGTCTTTGAAATTTCTTGTTTCTTGTCTTCAGCTGAACACGACCAAATGTACGAGACTATGAATTCAAGCTTGGCGCGTCTCCTTATATACACAACTACACAAATCGTTGATTGGCTTGATTGCGAACAATCGATCGCTTATATGATTGGCCAGAAAGCGTGGGTTATCATTGGATGATTTAGTTCATTAATTCAAACGCTTTTCATTGGTTAGTTGTGATCCTCTGTATAAGTCAAGCTCGATGTATAACACTTTTATGTCCAGTTCAATGATTTTGTTTGACGATTCCAAAATTTTTCATTCTTGTCGGCGAGATAAATTTCCACAATGGGCAAGCAGAAATCGTTTGGGTTGAGATAAGCATGATGGCATTATTTCGATGAATTGTACCTTCCTTTCTTCAGTTTGTGACAACATATTTCGTTTTCACTTCGCCGCTTCGCGCGAAACAAATTCCGGCGCTGGTGGAAAACCGGTTTTTATATATTATACAACAAACGCAATAGTCAATAACCGCGAAGTTATTTCAACCCTTCAAACGTACAGGCGGGATACCTCGGAATTTGTGTCTATTCAAGGGCAGGAATTGTCAATTTATTTATGCGTGTCAACGCTTTCCAAACAAGTAAACTGTCAATGTTTATAAATTATTATAGCAAAAAACAACGCACGTACGTATACTCAGATCATTGACTTCCAAAACATGGCAAATGAACGTAAAGTACACTAAGGGCCTGTTTATATGGAGGCGAGTTACCCGGCAATGCGAGTTACTCGGCAACGGCGAGTTTCCAGCTGTTATAGAAACTAATAGTAATCCCGGGTGACTGTTTACATGATGCAGCCGAGTAACTCGCCTTGGCGAGTTCCCGGCAGAAAGAGGCGGGATATCGCCTAGGCAAGATGAATATTTACCATGTAAACACTTTGCCCAGGTAACTCGGGCCGCCCGAGATAGAATGTATGTGCTTTGCATTTGAAATATAATAGCTCAAAAATAAATACGAGTTTTCCTTAATTTCTTGGCGCTTATTCTTGTATTTTGACAACACTTTGTAATGTCTTGTAACGTTTCAAACGACTTATAAATCCTTTTTGTGTTTTGGCGCCATTTTGGCGTCCTGCCATGCCTGTGACAATCATACATGCGGCAAATGCCGAAACAGAGCGCTTGTTTGTCCCGCTTGGGCGAGTAACTCGCCTTGCCGGGCAACTCGCCTCCATATAAACATGCCCTATTAAAGTTACGCCCTTGCTTAGAAATATTGTGAAACGTGCGACTGTCAAGTCTAACTTTGCAAAACTCAAAAACAACTCGCGGCCAGCTTGATGTGTTAAAACAAATCTTATTTACCTTTAATGTTAATATAGCTGTATGTATTGCATCTTCTAATTCCAACTCATCATTATACCTAGGGATACAGAAAAATCAAATTATTCTGTATTCACACGGAATAGGATGAAATCTAACAGGATTTCCCTACTATATATAGTGAGCTGGAAAGAGGTTTGGCTGCATGTTATCCCGGTAAATTTAATGCTTTCCGTGAGTAAATCTATAAATTCGTTAGAATTAACATTGATCGAATTAGTACGAAAAACGTTTCATCAATTATTTCCTCCCGTTACGACTGTAGGGCGGCCGTTTTCCACTTCAACCATATTTTACCGAAAAACAGCGTAAACGCAGAGAATACAATAGGGTTGAAATGGACGAGCCGAAGATGAAGTCGAAACCATCCTCAAAGTTCGACGATTTCGCGAGCCCACAGGCGGGATGCATGAAACCGTCGAACTGATACAAGCTTAAGGTACGAATTCCTGCGTTAACAAATGCATCCGGACGAATTTGTATACGTCCGAAACCGTCCGATCTTATTTGAACTTAGTCAAATCCTTTAAGCGGCAGAGCGCTCCAATGCACCCCTCTTTAAAATTCGCTGTCCAACGCCAGACAATTTTACACGACAAACCCAGACAACAGACCATTTCCGAATTGCGCTCTAATTGTCAACAACAATAACATTTACACAAAGTAAAGAAACATCACAATTTAGCGCGAAGCCTCGTTCTCAGCCAATAGTTTGTGGCCATTCGACCTTAATTTGGAAATGGCCTATTGGCTATAATACACCCTTTCGATAATTACGTCATTTGGCCTGGGAGCCTCGCTCTCATGAATCGTGAGCCAATCACCTTGCGTAATTTACTGATGAGAGCGAGGCTCCGGGATCAAAAAGTATGTGTGACGTAATTATCAAAAGGGTGTGTTCAATAAACAACTTTAGTTTGTGGCCATTCGACCTTAATTTGGAAATGGCCTATTGGCTATAATACACCCTTTCGATAATTACGTCATTTGGCCTGGGAGCCTCGCTCTCATGAATCGTGAGCCAATCACCTTGCGTAATTTACTGATGAGAGCGAGGCTCCGGGATCAAAAAGTATGTGTGACGTAATTATCAAAAGGGTGTGTTCAATAAACAACTTTACCTTAAAGGACACTGGCAACCAAAATTTTTATTACTTATATCTATTAGGTATACTTACGGAATATTTAATTTCATATTTTGGCCGGTTTGTCGCGTTTAGTTGCTGAGAAAATTTGATTGAATTTCAGAAAATTTGAACAGTTGTCCGCCATTTTGAAAATAAGCGCGTATGCTAATACATTATCTGACGTCATTGGCTGGGTAAACACAATCTCATAATAACTATAAACAATACCGTGTATTACCACACGTAGTGCATTTTGAGCCAAAACAAAAGGCAGAAAAGTTTTACCAAGTATGTAACTTGTTTCTCATAGTATACATCCTACTCCGTGTTAAATAAGCGCAGAAATTCGAGTGTAACAAGGCAAATACTAATGCAATATTTTATGATCAATTACCTGCATTGTAAATTGCGCCATTTCTTGCTTTCCCAGTCGCTCGATATGTTTTTATCTGATAGTGTAGACTTCTCTTGTTTGATTGCGAAGAGTGTTGGTCAGCATAACGCTCAAAACGACATATTTTTAGCTTGTAGTTTTGGTGCTACCCAGCCAATGACGTCACAAAGTTCATTGACCTTCGAGATAATTTTTCAAAAATATTTTCCAAGATGGCGGCGAAACTGGCCGAAACACAAAGTTTGCATGCATTTTACTCGTAGACTAAAATGTTCAAGACGGAAATGGTAATATTTTCATAGTTCGGTTGTCAAGTAGGATTGAAATAGCCAATAAAAATTTTCGTTGCCAATGTCCTTTAACCAAACTTACCGTTTTTCTAAAAATGTTCTTCCATTTAGATGGTTTTTACCCATAGCAGTGGCTTTCCAAGCGAAGTAAGCTCCCTATATTAAATCGCAACATTATTCAACTATCTTGTTTCTGCCCAATTAAAGCCGTTTTCCACTTCAACCGTATCCTAACGTAAGCTCCACCCAGATATGCTCAAGGAACAAAGAAATATACGTCATGCGCTTCGATTGGACGGCAATAAGTAGAAGTTTGGAATAGGTAGAAATATTTCCACAGGTATTCAACTTGAATTGTCAGGCTGTATATATTATTTTTTTTCATTTCATTGACTTTATTTACCGAGGGTACGACATGACAGCGTGAGCTACTGCCGTTTACAGTGGCCCTCATTGTCCTAAATAAGTGGCCCTCATTGTCTAAAAGTGGCCCTCGTTGTCTAAATAAGTGTCCCTCATTGTCTAAATAAGTGGCCCTCATTGTCTAAATAAGTGCATGGCCCTCATTTTCTAAATAAGTGGCCCTCATTGTCTAAATAAGTGGCCCTCGTTGTCTAAATAAGTGGCCCTCATTGTCTAAATAAGTGGCCCTCATTGTCTAAATAAGTGCATGGCCCTCATTTTCTAAATAAGTGGCCCTCATTGTCTAAATAAGTGGCCCTCGTTGTCTAAATAAGTGGCCCTCGTTGTCTAAATAAGTGGCCCTCATTTTCTAAATAAGTGGCCCTCGTTGTCTAAATAAGTGGCCCTCATTTTCTAAATAAGTGGCCCTGATTGTCTAAATAAATGGCCCTCATTGTCTAAATAAGTGGCCCTCATGCCCTCATTGTCTAAAGCCGTTTATAATGTCTAAATAAGTGGCCCTCATGCCCTCATTGTCTAAAGCCGTTTATAATATTCTTCGTTTGGGCAGAAATTATGCAGCCGTTCTTATATATGAGGTACTATTGTCTAAATAACATGGCCCTCATTGTCTAAATAAGTGGCCCTCATGCCCTCATTGTCTAAAGCCGTTTATAATATTCTTCGTTTGGGCAGAAATTATGCAGCCGTTCTTATATATGAGGTACTACTGAACTATGAACTACAATGATTATAAAAAATACTTATAATTACGCTCACATAATTAAATGTGGTTACGGCAAAGGCTTCTCGGATAGAAAAGCTATAAAGGGCAATTGGGAGATCATAAGTTGCAGTTTGCAATGCCGACGTGCAAAGATTGACAGAAGCACTTTTCTACCGGTATACGGTAGTAAGAACCGAATCCTTCAATTGAGCATTGAAACTCAATTTTCGTCTGTAATTATATTTTTCACAATATACTTTGAAGAAATTGCGACAAATGTGAATAATTGTAAAAGGAAAAAAAGTGCATGAACGTTGTTTATTCTTTTTCCATCCCCAAAAGATGTCATGATCAGAGTCAAGGGCAAAATGAAAATAAAGGTTTGCATTTATAAAGTTTTATAACGCTATTACAAATCTGTTTAAAAACGGTTATATTTTTGCTCACAAGTGCTGTCTCAAAATGCGGGAAATGTTATTTCATAGCGTCAAAATCAAGCCTTTTCTGGGGGTGGGGGGTTTGGTGCCGAAAGTGGAGAGCGCTCTCCTATGCTAAAACTCAATCTTTTTCTGAAAAAAAAACCGGTAGTATAGACTAAAATGCTTAAACATTACATACAAGACGTGAAATTCGCCGGTTTGCCAAGCGGTTTTAGAAAGACTAAGGCGAAAAACGATGTCTTTAGACTTTTTATCATTCGCTAAGTTATAAATTTGCATGTGTTAAAACCCTTCGCCGTTATTTGGTCCATCCATTTGCAAAAGGTTCTGATTTTGTTCTGATGGGAAAACAGGGGATTGATAACTCACCGAAGGATCACACTGGAAAAGATATGGCTTTCCATCATCCCAGCCTGCCATTAAAAGAGATACACCAAAAGGACGAACGCCGCTGAAACAAAGTTAACATATCACACATATAATTATACATGTAACTGGAAGGTGGGGTGAACTTGCAAGCAACCTCAACCATGGAAGTGGGTTACAGGATCTACAGTAGCTATACCTGAAAATATCTTGTTATATAAAAGAAATCTCGACGTTTGGAGCAAAGGCCCTCGCTGTAACAATAATTTTACCACCATTTGTGCAATTTCATGTACAAGGGAAATAATCTTTGCCTAAAGCTCGTTTCATGTACTGTAAGCCGATTTATGCGAACCTTGTTCTGGGAGAGGGCATTGGTTTTTGGTCTATTCGGGACTTTTGGTCTATTCGGGACCAGAAATCATTCATACATGTATTTATCTTACAAAACTTGTGAATAGTGTTTCTTACCCAGACTGTGTATATTCTTGCATTACAGACGCAATCCTATGAACTAACTGTGATGTGGGTATTTGTTCGTGATAAACCAGAAAATACTGCTGGGCAATTTTTCTCGCCCGTCTCACCAACAGTCTACAAACAAGATGATTGTAAAATTAATAAATTGCAAATCTAAGTTTTTCAAGAAACTTTATTGCTCTACCTGCAGTCAGGACCCATTCCGCTATACACTAAACCAGAATTCTTTGTAATCATCTCAACCTAAAATGGAAACACGTTACTTCTTATTGATTTCACGTGGGACATATTAAGGTCTTGGTATGAAGTCTGAAACTTTATCTAACATATGCGAATGACGGGAGTACGAAACGACGTGATAGCGATTGACGACTGCAACCTCGCAATCACTGCTACCAATACCATGTTTCGATTATTTTCTCTTGTAAGGAAATCACTGTCCATAATCCAGAGAGGTATCCATATTAGCCTTTTCCCAAAAGAGATCACAGTCACACAGTGCAATCTGGGATCGTTTGGAGGGACAAAATATATGGTGACAGGCGTCAAACATGTGAAAGAGTAGAAGTATCTACTATCAAATATCAATTTTTTAGACAACCAAAAATGAAATATCTCCTTTTTACATTAAACATTTAATTTAAATGTGAGCTGCCATATTTCTTGTCCCTTTGGGAAATGACTAATTAAACATATGTCTGTATTAGATAGGTACTGTACAGTAGGTATTGTATCCACATTAGAGAAGTAATTACCTTGTGAATAGTAGAATCATCATATAATATCGATTTCTGTTTCTTCTCTGCAGCAAGTACCACTCCGTTTGTAGCTAAATGAGACAAACTTTTATGTAATTATAAAAGTAAAATACCTTTCCTTTGACATTTATGTTGTAAGGAGGAAACTTATTGGATCAGAATTTTGCAAAATAGCCATGAATAGATGGCAAAAATCACATGGGACTGGCTTCTACTGTTAACCGTGACTTGTTAATTTGACCAGCCATCCAGAAGTTGTCTTTTTCAAGTGATTATGGAAGATGGCCATCAAGAAGATCAGAGAAAGAGGTGAAAATCTATTAGAGCTCTACTAACACTGTATGATTGGGGATACGAGCCCATGCATGTACTGTACCTTTTATTCCAACAGAAGGTCCACCAGCTGCAACAGCAGCCAAGGCATACTCTATCTGTACAAGTTTGCCAGAAGGACTAAAAAATCAGAAACCAATCATAGAATTAACTCACTTGTTACAGTAGATGGTGCTGAAATTTAATTTGACTAAAAGTCCAAATATGAGGTATATGATGTATAATGATTTTTCAGACTCTCATAATTTAAGGTTGCCACTGATGAAAACCAGATCCAGAACTTAGATCAGCAGGGCTTGAAATACGTTCCCAAAGTTCCTGATCATGGTGATCAGCAGTCATGACTTTCCCTGCTTTTTCATGTTGGAAACCCTACTTTTCCGCCAATCATAAGCCATTTCTTGCCAATCTTTGATCGGTGATCGGCTGTTATTTCAAGCCCTGGATCAGTCGGATTTACTGTATTGTTAGCACATCAATGCCCAAAACACTTCCCTTTGACAATTGATCAAATTGGCATATGAAGTCATATAATTTGTCAGTTGCAACTTAATGACATCATATGCCAGCTATTTTTATCAATAATTTTATCACACAATGCAACTTAATGGTTAAATTAAAATTAAGAAAATGTACATATTCCCAACATGCAACTATTATATCCCAGAGGCGGATTTATTGGGGTCCTCGAGGGCACCCTTCTTACTGATATCCAACACCTCCCTAGTGGTGTCCA